TCCTGCCCTGGCTGGTGTGGCTCAGTGGATTGAGTGCTGGCCTTTGAACCAAAGGGTTGCCGGTTCAATTCCTGGCCAGGGCACGTGCCTGGGTTGGGGGCTGTGTACCTGCTTGGGGGGTGTGAGAGTCAACAATTGATGTTTCTCTCCCTTCCCTCCTCTCTAAAAATGAATAAATTAAACCTTAAGAAAAATAGGTTTAAAAAAAAAGGAATCCCAAATTAAAGAAAGGGTGGGGGAAAGAAAAGTCAGAAGATGGGTTGGACAGCTGCAAGGGTCTCCCACCTCAGTTTTGGTCTTTTTTGGCGCATTGGTCTCCTCACTTTCACTCTCTGAGATCTCCTCGCTCCGGCCCTGCTTGCTGGCCTTTGGGGTAGAGGCCTCCTCTACTCGTGCCTTCTGTTAAAGAGAAAGAGAAAATTCTTGTCTTACACCTCCCAAGCCTCCGCCACTACCCTGTGCCAGACAGGAAGTTCCCCCACAACAGACACACACACAACCTCAGCCCCAGTGCCTGCGCATCCTGTGGGAGGACCTCAGGACAGAATACCTTGGCTGTCTGCCTAGACTTCTCAGCTTTGCCATCACTGCTAGATGTGCTGACCCCTCCAGGGGAGGCCCGGCCCCTCGATCTCAGTTCTTCCCGGGGCCCAGGGGCCTCTTTCTTCCGTCCACTCCTCATTGACATCTGAACGATAAGGAAGAAAACAATAAAAAAATTTTTTACATTTCACCTAACTTTAGGATGCACCTTACTTCTATTCTTTCTCTCCAGGCCCTTCCCCCTAGCTTCCCTGCCCCTGATCTTTCATGTCTCTCAATTAAGCTATCACTCACTGAGTCTTTATTCTGTCGTGTCTTCATTCTTCAGGCTGTGGAGACCCCATTCTCCTCTGCCTGGGCAGCTGAATACAGAAACTTCTCTGCTTCACCCCAAGCTCCCCACAGCTGTGGCCTGGGAAGCAGGAAGCAGGATCTCCAAGTTTCCAGTGTAGGCGCCTGGGACTTGCAGGATCTGTTTTCAGTGAAGCCTGTTAGAAAGACCATCCAAGTCTCCAAATCAGGGAGCAGAATCTGAAAGGGCTACCACTGTGCTTGTCAAGGGGCTGAGTGAGTAGTCCCGCCCTAGGCCTTTCAGTCAAGAGGTACCAGCCCCATAATTCAGCTGGCTTGCCCCATGGGCTACCCAGCTAATCTACAAGTGCAGAAGACTCTGCTTGCAAGACCATCTCTCCCATCGCTGGGGAGGGCAATAAAACAGATGTAGCCAGGAGCCCCATTCTAGAGATGACTCTGTTTTACCTATCATCATCCCCAAGAGATCTGTGCACACTTGCATTCCGTAGGGCCTCAAAGAGGGACTGACAGGGGAGCAAAACAAGCTCAAGTATTAACTTATTTATCCAGTACCTTCTGTAAGTCAAACCCTCACGTACACAATTTAATATTTACAACCAATCCTCAAAAGTAGGTGTTCTTATTAATCCCATTATATGGATGAGGAAACTGAGGCTCAAAGATTGTGATTCTGACTTGCCAACTTCACGTGATAATATACAGTGAGGAACCAGTGACGGCACCAGAATCAAGCCCACCTCTCCCTGATTTCAAAGCCCAAGTTCTTTCTTCTCTTCTTTGCTATATTCTCATCAGAAACTGGTACGGTTACTCCTCAGAAGACCTAAATCAGCCCCAGAGATACAAAAAGAGTCTTTTTTCATATCAGAGTAGGTGGGAAAAGACTGCCCCGTTCTACAGTGCAAAGGCACACAACCCCACCAATCCCAAGACCAAATCCAGGTAACCCCAAAGAGCAGAGCTTCACTTTTGAGAGCATCATAAAGACCTCCTCTCTAGTTCATGGGTTCCTGAAGGCTAGAGGAAAAGGCAGGACTTTTCATTTTGCCAACCAAATCAGTGAGATCAGTGAGCACAACACAAACTTACAATCTTGTGAACCTATCTCTCACTCGGCCTGGGTGGGCACACACACCTCACAGCTGATCTATATCTATACATATCTATATAGTCAACTGTTTTCATTTGCAGTGGTTTGTATTTCTTGCTAAGTGTCCTTTCAATACTACTGACCATATGATCTTTAGAGAGCAAAAATGTTGTTACTGTTCTCTTCCTTTCTGTATCCCCCACTGATGTCACGTATATATAGGTGTTCTGTTCTCGTTTTTTTATCTTTAAGCCTACTAACTTCATAGGTCTTCTTGGATGAAGTGCTGGTGGACTCAGTGGGAACAGAATAAGCTTACCTGCCTGTTCTGAGTTAGGAGGCCTGGCTAGGCAAGTGGCATTTCCACATCCTAGATCATACTTTCCCCAAGGAATACAAAGTAATTACTTCACTCAGCTCCACTGAACCATACTGAGGCAGACAGTGAGGGGTCAGCCTAACCTTTCCAGGAAACTTAGTGAGAATTTACTCAGAGTAACAAAATAGATGGAACAGGGCCCCAGGTCTTTTGAACTTACAACTAATGCTCTGCCCAGTAAACCAGCCATTTTTCCTCAACCACAACTATTACATTTTTGATGTGTAGACTGACTTGAAAATTCAACCTCCAAAATCCAAAGAATAAAACCCAAATAACAAAAGGGAAAAGCAATCCTAACAAAAGTACAATGAGCATTTGTGACTGGTGTGTCTTTGCTAGCCCCTCTAGAGAACAGTGCCCATCTCTTCCCCATCACTGAACCTGCTCCCAAGTCAGTCAGAGCTGGGTCAGAAAAATGCTGGAATGTCAATTTTTAAAATCACCTGAACTCTGATAAGACAAGCAATGAGTAATTTTGAAAGATAAAAGCACTCATAAAAAGGCAGGTAATCCTGGGGCAAGGAGGAGCAGGGCCAGAGCAGTTAGGGTTGTATCTGAATCAGAGGCAGGTTTTAGCACCAGCAAGCTAAGCTACACTCCATCTTGCCCTAGTAGCCAATTACTGTAACTAACATTTACAGAGCACCTACTATGTGTCTGGCAACACACTACGCTCACTCACCTTCATTGCCTTACTGCAAAAGGAAAATGATAAAAGACCAGATTGGGGAAGTGGAAAAGTGAAAACTAGGGAAAGAGTCTCTAAGTAAGAACAGAAAAAGAAATTAGGGGAGAAATATAAGAAGGATGCCAGAAGGAATACAATACAAGCACAAGGCTTTTCTGGGATGGGCTTACAGAGTGAATTTCAGGATCACTGGCCCAGCCTTCACCTTCATTCCAGATCTGCCAGACTAACAGACCAGTCCAAAGTGACTGCTAGATAACAATGCAGCCCAGACCAGCAGATAACAATGCACTGGCTTAAACCTTCAGAGAATCCAGGATTGTCAGACAGACCTCAGAAATCATCTCATCTATAACCCCTTCATCTCACAATGAAGCCAAGGCTAAAAGAAACAAGTGACTTGCCCAAGGTCACAGAAGTACAGCCAGGACTAGACCCAAGTCTCCTGGCTCCAGTTCCAGAGTATTTCCTCTGCAACAGGCTATTCCACAGCCCTTACCCCTGGACCACCCTCACCTGAGACAGGCGTGGAAAGCCCAAACAGTCCTACAAGATCAGGGAAATAGGTTAAAGGTTAGCTGAGGGAAGGGGTCACTGTGTCAAAAGAAGAAAAGGTTGATTGGGGAAGATAGACTCAGATTAAGAAAATGGAAGAATATCAGTGTGAAGAACAAAAAAACTACTGTATACAAAAAGTCCCTACCAATAAGAGATAGAGTCAAAAAGAACTACCAAAAGATGGTATAGTGAAGAAAGCATTTCCGTGCTCCCACCATGCCTAGGGGGAGAGACTTGGAGAAACGTCCGGACTGTCGAGTAACATATCTACCTCTGTCTAACAGACTGCTCACGGGAGGGGGTGGGCCCCTGCCAAACCCATACTCCAGCAACATTAGACACGTTCTCCAGAACCCAGGCAACAGTCCTAAGGACGTGGCCAAAGTCTGAGGTCCAGTCAACATTCTAAACCCCCACCTATTAGACAGCCATTGGATCGTTGCCATGGCAACGAAATGGCAGAACTTGAACCTCGAGAGTCCATCCCAGGGGTCCATCAGCCAGCCACTCCCCTTCCAGTTGCTAAAGCAACTCCTACTCTCCTATAGTACCCTCAGGGAAGAGAGTACCTACCCCAGTAGAAATAAGCCCATGCACAAAGGGAAATCTCTGAGCTCAAAATAGTAATGAAGACAACCCCCCTCCTGCCACAAACCACAGCGAGAGGGGCAGAGAGATGCCCTAGGGATCTCAAGGTGGAGGTGACAACTTGTCTGGCGGGCCTACAGGATGGCCCAATTCTCTCCTCGTTTCCACCCTCCCAGAAACCCTTTCTCCCTAACTCTCCCATCAGTGTTCCTCCCTCTATTAGTGTGCCCCTCTCCAAGAAGTAGTAACTCTGTCTGAAATTGGGAGGAAAAAAAAAAAAGACCAGAGGTGACCTGCAGTAGGGGAAAGAAAACTGAATCACGAAAGCATCGCCTTCCCAATTCCACTCGAGAACACCTCGGGGTCCTCTCGAAGGTGGGCCCCTCCTCGGTCGTTTCCCCAGGTTCCATCCTCCTCCCTCATCAGCTACAGTCCCTCCCCACCTACCACACCCCTTCCCCACTACCCACTTCCCTTCCACGCAAACCACCCCCAGCCTCGAGCTCGGAAACCCGGGTTCTGGGCCTTTGGGGCTTTTCCTGGAGACCTTATGCCCCACCTCGCTGCCATCTGTCGAATTTCTTTTCCGCCTTCGCCCCCAAAGCCCCTTCACGGGTACCTCCCGTTTATCTCCAATCAACCCTCCGCTGCGGGGTCCTGGCTGCCCCCTCCTTTGCCCCACCAGCCTCCTCCAGAGACCCTCCCACCTCCCCCCACCCGCCCGACCCCCCGGGTGCCCCGGCCCTCCCCCCTCCACGGGGCGCCGGCCCCACTCGGAGCCCCGCGCCCCGGTCCGGCGGTGCCCGCAGTGGGGGGACCGGCCGGGGAAATAACAAATGGAGACGAGGCGGCGGGAGGGGAAGTGGGAGGGTGGGGGTGGGGAGCCGCGGGCCGGGCCCGGGCGTGCCGCGGGCCCGCGCGGCGGCGGACCTTACCTGTCTGGAGCTCTGGACGGCCGGCTGGCTCCGAGCGGGGCGCGGGGACCCGGCGCCTCCGGGGGGCGGCGGCGGCCGCTCCCCCGCCCCCCGCTCCTCTTCCCGCTTCAGTCGCCGCCGCGACGCCGGCGGCGGCGGCCCCGACCCGCTCGGAGGGCGGCCCCCATCCCCCTCTCCCCCGCCCTGGCCCCGATCGCCCGCGGACCCCGAGCAAATCCCGCTCCGGGTTCCCGCTCAGCCCCTCCCCGGGCCGCGCCGCCCGCCCCGCCGCTCCGCTCCGCTCGCCCCCGCGGCCCTCCGCGCCGCTCCGCCCGGCTGCCCGCCGCCGCCGCCCGCGCCCGCCTCGCGCGGCCCGCACTCGCCTACCCGCGGCCCCCGCGGAGGCCTCCGCCCGCGGCCCCCGCCCCTTCCCGGGCGGCCGGCTCGCTCGCCCCCTCCCGCCCTCCCCGCGGCCAGCGGCGCCCCCACTGGGTCGCGGCCCCCGGCGCCGGCCCGACCCCGGGCTGCGGGCGGGCTGCGCGGCGCGTCCGGCGACTCGCACAGGAAAGCGGCCGGCGAAGGGAGGGAGCTCGGGAGAGGGGGATGGGAGAAGGGAGGAAGAGGGAGAAGGAGGGAGCGCGGAGGAACGGGGAGAGAGGGGCCAGGAGGGAGACGCGAGGGAGGGAGGGCTCGGCGAGCTGCGCGGGGGGAGGGGGACCGGGGAGGGAGGCGCCGCGCGAGTTGGCCGCGGCCGAGGGGGCCCGGGGCGCGGGGAGGGGTTCGCGGGGGCGGAACGTGGGGAGCCCGCGGGCCTGGCACTGGCGAGGGCGAGGGAGGGAGGGGCCGTGGGTTATAGGGGTAGATGTAGGGAGGCAGAAGTTTGAGGGCAAAGGGATCTATGACAGAGGTGGGGCGGGAGGTTGCGGGTACGAGGCGAGGATTGGGGGAATCGGGTGAGATTGGAGAGATGGAGCTACGTGGGGGCTTTCGGGGCAATGAGGTGTGTGATAAGACACGAAAGCAGCTTGGGTGACAGCGTCCATGGCGGGCGGGGGCAGGTTGGGGAGGCAGTTATGACAGAATGGGGTGGAAGTTTGGGGTCATAAGGAGGGGAAGAAATTGAAAAAATAAATGGAGACACATGAGGCTGAGATTTTTGGAAGAGGGTAGAATTTGAGGGTGACTGGTGTTGGGAAAAGACTAGGAAATATAAGAATTTGGGGGTGATGAAGGTAAGCTGGAGAGAGACAAGTTCAGAGACGTCAGCTTGGAGTGAGAAAGGAAAGCATGAGGAACCTTAGGAAGGGATGACAGAGGTGGGCCAGACGCGTTTTTCTAGGGGGCCCTGGGGCTCGAGGTAGGACTGGAGGGTGGAAGACTCAGGGGTGGCTGGGCTCTGGAGGTGAGGGGTTTCCAAGAGAACTGAGGAGGATTTTGATAGCAAGACAAAGTGGTTAGAATGGAGTGGGTGTGGAGGGGTTGGGAATGGATAAAGAAGATTGGAAGGAAATGTAAGATAAACCTGGTCTTTGGTGGTATTATGAAAGATGGAAGGTCAGTGATGCAGAAGACAAGAGGGTGGAAGGAAAAGCAGTAGAAGGAAATGATAGAAATGGGGGAGGGCGAGCTCCAGTGGAGGGAAGAGATTACTTTATAGGAGTGGGACACCATGATTGGGCCCTCTATCTGGCGGTGTCCCTGTTGAAGTCATCACTGATGGTACTTTGGGTCCCAGGGAAAGGGTGAGGTGGGGATTAGGCTCAAAGCATAGTCAAATCCCTAGGTGCCCTCATTCCCCAATCCCAATCATTCTAATGTGGAGACAGTCCCCACCACAGGCCTAAGGCTCTTTCTTCTCCTCCCACTGCTCTCCAGGCAGCCTCTGACACTGTCAGTCTGCCAGCCATTCCCAGTCTTCAGCCTCGAAGCCAGCACCCCCAGCAGTCCAGCACCAGTGTCTTCTGGGCTGGCTCCCTGGCCCCTCACTAAACTGTAACATCTCCCAGGACAAAGGACGCCAAGACACTGGTTGGTTTTTGGCAGCTGAGAGTGGGAAGGCCAGAGAATGGGAGGGAGGCAGGCTGGGAAATAGGAAGAGCTGGAGCTGGAGTGTGGATTGGGAGCCCTAACAGTTCTCCAGATTTGGGGTGGGGGTGGGGTGTGTGTGAGGCCAGGACAGCCAGAGGCCAAGGGTACACCATGAATGGCAGGACCCCCCCAGCCTTCTGGAAAGGAAGGAGGTTGGCTCTGTAGCAACTCAGTAGATTTTGTCTCATATTTCCTTGGGCCAGGCTCAGCCAAGTTCTAGAAATACCCAAAAGCTCTAAAAAGATTCTAAATCTCTGGGGACCCTGAACAAGAAGGCTTCCTTGACCTAGGAAGGAGTCACCACTCTTCAATCTTTTGAATTGGCTGGCACTTTACCACCCCATGCCCACCTTCCTTATTCTTTAGGGCCTTCTAGAGACCAGGCCAGCTCCCCATCTCCCCCACCCCCAATGCTCTCCCCCATCCCAGTATCTTAGGATAGCTCCTGCTCCTAAATCCCCACCTCCCTACTTTGCTCCAAAACTCCTCCCACCCCTCACTGCCCTCCCTATTACATTTTTCTCTCTCTCTCCCCCTCCCTCCCTCCCTCCCTCCCTCCCCACTTCCCAGTTCAGTTTCCTGCTGGGCCCTGGCCCAGGCCCTTTCCAATTCCCTTCCAGGTTTGTTTTTTGTTTTGTTTTGTTTATCATTGTTACTGGGTTGTTTTTTTTTTTGGGGGGGTGTTTGTTTTTCACCACTAAGGGATGGATCAGGATGATGGCATATATGAGCCTAAAAGAAAAATTTAGGCACAGGTAGGAACAGAGGATGGAGTAGTCAGAGGAAAGGCCAGGGCCTACCCCTTCCAGTTCCTCTCCTACCTGAGGACCAGCTGACAGCTCAGCTTCAGGAAGCATCACACACACCACCACCACCACCACTACCATCCCTCACCCCAGCTCCTTCTCTGGCCCCAGTCCCTCACAACCCACTGGTCTCCAAGCAACGGCACAAAGGGAAAGTGGAGGGAAGGGCCTAGGAAGCCCTGGTAGAGCTGGTGGTAACCCTATCCACCCAGTACCTGGGTGGTGGTGGTGGTGGAGGGGAGAGCATGGCTGCCAGGGAAGGCAACTTAATAAGGAGAGAGAGAAGGGCAGAGGTTAGTAAATGTGGCTCCCACCAGAATAAGCCTGGTTAGTCCAGGAGTTACTAAAGAAAGGTGAATACAATGCACGCTGGAGAAAAGATGAATATAATGCACCAAGAGGTACGGAAAGAAGTAGTGTGGCCCAAGGGAAACAGAAAAGGCGCCGGGAGAGAAGGGAAAGATGAGATGCTCACACTGAAGCAGTGAAACCAAGAGGCACAGAGCAAGGGGGCAAGAAGTTTTTTGAACTGAAAATGGAGGAGGTGTCCGCCACACAGGAAGGACAGGGCAGAGAAATGGGTCCTGCCCGTGCAGAACTGGAATCTTCTTCTAGTCCTAGAGCTGGACGGGATGGCAGAGGAAGTCCAGGGCCAGAACTCTTGAGTAGAAACACTGGGAGGCCCACAAAGGGAGCAACCTTGAAATTCCTCCCACCCCCTTTAAGCTACGCTCCAGGATGGTGTCCTGCAGAACCTTGCCTCCCTCTAGTGGCCACAGCTTTCCACAGCCCCTAGTTCCCAAAGTACTGAAGGGTGTTGTCGCCCCTGCTTGGTTTCTGGGTTCCCATCTCAATGCTGGGGCTCCATAGGAGCTGAAGAGTTGTGTGTCTCCAGCCACACGCTGGCACCCTCCTTGAAGGCTGACCCAACTGGAGGGGGTGGAGCCTGTTGAGTAGTTCAGGCCCTGAATCTTCAGTTTGCTGGAGGACTGATCCTCAGGCCCTCCTCTCCATCCCCCAGTACCATTCTTCCCTCCCCAGTCCCCCAGCCCCCCACTGTGCAGGGAGTAATACCCATGCAATGCTGTTTCATCCCAGAAGCGGACAGGGTTTTGTCTGGGAGAGCCCCGATATGGGAGCTGCTCTAGTTCACAGATTTATCCCTTCTTTGGTCAAGGCCCTTTGGGAACCTGAAAACACTTTGGACACCTTTCCCCCCAAGTGCACATAAGCACAACATTTTTAGTAAGTTTAGGAATTCTTGCACCAATTTAAGAACTCCTAATTCACCTGGGGCCAAGCTTGCTGCTGAGAAGGCAGGGGCAAGGCGGACCTCACCGGGCCGGGGCAGGGTAGGCAATGCCATCTGCTGCCATCTTTGTTCTGTCTGTCTTCCTCCTCCAGTGTGTGTGCCCTCCCCAGCTCTGCTATCCAGTGGGGACCGCCTGCCTTCCCAGTGCCCCCCCTTCTCTCCCCTCACACAGACTGCAGTGAGACTCCTCAGACACAACAACGCACTGTGATTCAGACTTTAATGGTGGTGTTCGTTTCAGTGCCACCGAGGTGTGGATCGTGACATAGGGAGTGAGGCATTGCTCTGGTGCAGCTGGAGGAGGAACGGGGAAGGTAGAGCTGGGAAGAGCCCCCAGGTGAACAGCCCCACCTCTGGCCCCAGCCAGGTCTCAGTGAGGGGTTGGTACACACAGAGGAACCACCAGCAGGGCCCTTTGCTGTTAGCCTTGGCATTGCAGCAAGACTTCCCATCCAGGCCATCTCAGAATCTACAGCCACATGAAGTACAGACACTAGTGCCCCCACTTCCAGTCAGGCCAGTTTTTAGCCCTGGAGATATGGGGAGATGATTAATTAATTAACAGGATGAATGAAAATAAATAAACAAACAAACAATACACTAAAACCTTAGGCCAGGCAGGACCAGCAGCCAGCACCTCCCTCCACCTCGGCACCGCGCAGCGCGCCCGGCTCTTCCGCAACATGGAACCAACAGAGAGCACGAGTGATATGCGGCCCCTCTCCAAACACCTCAGGCACCAGCCCTGATGCTCCCATCACAGACCCTGCTCATTCTTCCATGGACTCCCTTGTAATCCTCGGTCCTGTGGCCAGTCTTTGAGGAGAGAGAACAGGAAGGAAGGGGAAGTGAAGAAGAGTGTGGAACCCAAGGGGGAAGCAGAGACAGCAGGGGCGGGACAAGCCCGGGAGCAGTGCAGCAGGTCAGCTGGGGTGTCCGAGGTGCAATATCACAGAGCAGGACAGGAAGGGGCTCCAGGATGGTGGGAGGGGGTCCAAGTCTCCAGGCAGGTAGAGGGATCACAGCACGCTGGGATTGCGGAAATTGTGTCCTGCGAAGCGAGCTTCATCTCCCAGCTCTTCCTCAATTCTGAGAGAGATGAGCCGGAAAGGAAATGTCAAGTTGGCGGTTGTGGGAGGCCCTGGTTCTCCAGGCGCCTCACAACACCTGCTCCTGGCCTGGCCCCAGCGCAGGGGCATTCCCTGGCTTTCCCACGTGACCTGCAGGACTCATCCATCAGGCCACCAGTCAACCCATCTTTCAATCCTTTCTGGATATCTACTGGCCAGGGCACTGGAGGCGGGACAGTGGGGTAAAAGTAAACAGCTTTTACCCCTGAGCCCTGGCTCCCATTCCCCAGGTTCCCTCACCTCATGAGCTGGTTGTACTTAGCCAGACGCTCGGAACGGCACGGGGCACCAGTCTTGATCTGAAACATCCAGAGAGACGAGCAGCTCAGTGGCTGCCCCTTCATCCTCGAAATGAAACTTACACTCCCTTGAAATTCCTGACACCTTCAAACACCTGGAAGGAGACACCCACCTGAGCCTAGAACCCACCAATTGCACAAAGATCTCCTTTGCACTCACCTGACCTGTGCACAGCCCCACCACCAGGTCTGCAATGAACGTGTCCTCAGTCTCTCCTGAGCGATGACTCACCATGACCCCCCAGCCATTCTCCTGGGCCAGCTTGCACCTGTATGGGTACACCAGCACTGACCGCCAGCCCCTCACCCTGGGCACCCTCCTCCCAGCCCCAATGTTGGTCTGTGTTAAGAAATAATCTAGGCCCTGGCTGGTGTAGCTCAGTGGATTGAGCATGGGCCTGCGAACCAAAGGATCGCGGTTCGATTCCCAGTCAGGGCACATGCCTGGGTTGCAGGCCAGTTCCCAGCAGGGGACGTACGAGAAGCGGCCATTGGTATTTCTCTCCCTCTCCCCTTCCATTCCCTTCTAAAGATAAATAAATAAAATCTAAAAAATAAATCTGAAACAAAAGAAACACTCTGGCCCTGGCTGGTGTGGCTCAGTGGATTGAGCACTGGCCTGCGCACCGAAAGGTCGCCTGTTTGGTAGTCCGCCGGGGCACGTGGGCCCTGCTCCTGCTCATTAACTTTCTCTCCCTCTCTTTCTCCCACCCTTCCCCTCTCTCTAAAAATAAACAAACAAACAAATAAAATGGAGAAACTTGGGCTCCTCCCTTAAAGAAGAAAAATATCTGGAGGGAAGCTGGGTGGGAGCAGAGCATCAGTGATGGAGAGAGCAGAACTGAGGGCTCTGAAGACGACTCCAGGTCCCCTGTTCTCTTCAGCGTCACCGGACAGGATTAGGCTTCCGGCCCTTGCACGAGGGTCCTGAGAAACGCGCTCAGCAGGAGAGACCCAGGAGGCACTCACGCTTGGATGGCTTCAGTGACTGAACCGATCTGGTTGACCTTGAGCAGCAGACAGTTGCAGGCCTTTTCTTCCACTGCCCGCTCAATACGCTTTGGGTTGGTCACTGTCAGGTCATCACCCACAATCTGTATCCCTACATTGGCTGTGAACTTCGACCAGGCAGCCCAGTCATCCTGGTCGAAGGGGTCCTCGATGGAGACCACTGCAGAGAGAGTGGCGAAGGGGCAGTTGACCCTCCCTGGGGCTCTGCGCCAGGCGGGCTTGATTCCCTGAAATGGCCGGCCCCCTGGCTGACGGAGCCTGCCCCTCTTGCTCCCCCTGTCCCCAAATAGGCCTGCCCTAATGGACCCGTACTTTGATTCATTTATAAAGCTTTCAAAAACAA